TGACAGACTGACCGGCCAATCACACTGACAGACTGACCGGCCAATCACACTGACAGGATAACCGGCCAATCACACTGACAGGATAACCGGCCAATCACACTGACAGGATAACCGGCCAATCACACTGACAGAATAACCGGCCAATCACACTGACAGACTGACCGGCCAATCACACTGACAGGATAACCGGCCAATCACACTGACAGACTGACCGACCAATCACACTGACAGAATAACCGGCCAATCACACTGACAGAATAACCGGCCAATCACACTGACAGGATAACCCGCCAATCACACTGACAGGATAACCGGCCAATCACACTGACAGGATAACCGGCCAATCACACTGACAGACTGACCGGCCAATCACACTGACAGACTGACCGGCCAATCACACTGACAGACTGACCGACCAATCACACTGACAGACTGACCGGCCAATCACACTGACAGGATAACCGGCCAATCACACTGACAGAATAACCGGCCAATCACACTGACAGGATAACCGGCCAATCACACTGACAGGATAACCGGCCAATCACACTGACAGACTGACCGACCAATCACACTGACAGACTGACCGACCAATCACACTGACAGACTGACCGGCCAATCACACTGACAGAATAACCGGCCAATCACACTGACAGGATAACCGGCCAATCACACTGACAGGATAACCGGCCAATCACACTGACAGAATAACCGGCCAATCACACTGACAGACTGACCGGCCAATCACACTGACAGAATAACCGGCCAATCACACTGACAGAATAACCGGCCAATCACACTGACAGAATAACCGGCCAATCACACTGACAGACTGACCGGCCAATCACACTGATTTAAGATCCTGTGTATTTGAGCTGATTCAGTTCCCTCCAGCTATAGAGGAGCTGGTATCCTGGATACTGAATGAGTTATTTGGTATAATACAATGTAACACTATAATTGCAATATTGTGAATACACATTAAATAACTGACAGACTGACCGGCCAATCACACTGACAGACTGACCGGCCAATCACACTGACAGAATAACCGGCCAATCACACTGACAGACTGACCGGCCAATCACACTGACAGGATAACCGGCCAATCACACTGACAGAATAACCGGCCAATCACACTGACAGAATAACCCGCCAATCACACTGACAGGATAACCCGCCAATCACACTGACAGGATAACCGGCCAATCACACTGACAGAATAACCGGCCAATCACACTGACAGAATAACCGGCTCCACAATCTCACTGCAGGCACTATAACCACTTCATGTCACTGCAGGCACTATAACCACTTCATCTCACTGCAGGCACTATAACCACTTCATCACACTGCAGGCACTATAACCACTTCATCTCACTGCAGGCACTATAACCACTTCATCACACTGCAGGCACTATAACCACTTCATCACACTGCAGGCACTATAACCACTTCATCTCACTGCAGGCACTATAACCACTTCTCTTTCAGAGAGTCCAGTACTGTCTAACTCACTGTCACACTACCTATACCTTCTCCCATGCAACAATAACAAAATATAAAAGTATCCCCCGTAAAACCCAAGCAGTTGTATCAGGACTCCTACCTGTGAATAAATTGTTTGGTTTTACAATGGCAAACCAGACTGCACAATGCTGGGCGTAGTCCTGATTTCAGACTTCTTGCTTTACCAACTGCCCAGCGCAATATATAAAATAATAGTGAAACCAGTAACCACAGGAGTATTTGAAGTGAACAATATACACCACGATCGTACAACAATAAAAACATCTCCCTAGATTAGGATTCTTCAATCTTCTTCAGAATGGTGTGTAGTAGGTTCACCATCACAGTCCTGCGAGGTCGCATATGATATCATAAGGAGGTTTGTTGGTGTGAAGGATGGAGCACGTTCTAGGCATCTGCAAACTGTAAGAGAATGGCTGACAACTGTACATATGTGTGTGGCAAAGGCTGGCTGGGAGAGAATCCAGATTCCAGCAAACAATGAGATTTCCTTTTGCACGTGCAGAAATGAAATGAGGACACGCTGCCACGTGTTTGGGAAAAGCTGGAAATCCAAGTAATTCTGGCAAGTAGGTTCATGTTTGGAATGGCTGGTGAAGCCTGTTGTTGACACCAACCCTTCTGCAGAAGTGCCAAATCCTTGCAGCCGGAGGATGTGGCTGTAGTAGGAAAGCTAAGAAGAACTAAGGAAATATATACACTGCTATGATCTGTGCTCAGCTCCTGGAATTGAAAATGTTGAATTATAAATTGAGGGACAAAGAAATGATCAGTCTATAATTTTAATGGTAGGTGTATTATAACAGTGAGAGACAGAATAACAAAACAAAAATCCAGAAAAACGCATGTCAAAAAAGTTATACATTGATTTGCATGTCAATGAGTGAAATAAGTATTTGACCCCTTCGACTTAGTACTTGGTGGCAAAACCCTTGTTGGCGATCACAGAGGTCAGACGTTTCTTGTAGTTTGGCACCAGGCGTGCACACATCTCAGGAGAGTTTTTGTCCCATTTCTCTTTGCAGATCCAATCAAGTAATTAAGGTATCAAGGCTGACGTTTGGCAACTCGAACCTTCAGCTCCCTCCACAGATTTTCTATGGAATTAAGGTCAGGAGACTGGCTAGGCCACTCCAGGACCTTAATGTGCTTTTTCTTGAGCCACTGCCTTGTTGCCTTGGCTGTGTATTTTGGGTCAGTCTCATGCTGGAATACCCATCCACGACCCATTTTCAATGCCCTGGCTGAGGGAAGGAGGTTCTCACCCAGGATTTGACGGTACATGGCCCCGTCCATGGTCCCTTTGATGCGGTGCAGTTGTCCTGCCCCCTTAGCAGAAAAACACCCTCAAAGCAAAAATGTTTCCACCTCCATGTTTGATGGTGGGGATTGTGTTCTTGCGGTCATAGGCAGCATTCCTCCTCCAAACATGGCGAGTTGAGTTGATGCCAAAGAGCTCGATTTTGTTTTCATCTGATCACAACACTTTCACTCAGTTCTCCTCTGAATCATTCAGATATTCATTGGCAAACTTCAGACAAGCCTGTATATGTGGTTTCTTGAGCAGCGGGACCTTGCGGGTGCTGCAGGATTTCAGTCCTTCACGGCGTAGTGTGTTACCAATTGTTTTCTTGGTGACTATGGTCCCAGCTGCCCTGAGATCATTAACAGGATCCTCCCGTGTAGTTCTGGTAGAATCTGATAGATTGCTTCTGTGGACAGGTGTCTTTTATACAGGTAACAAGTTTAGATTAGGGGCACTCCCTTTAAGAGAGTGCTCCTAATCTCTGCATGTTACCTGTATAAAATATATCTGGGAGCCAGAAATCTTGCTGATTGATAGGGGATCAAATACTTATTTCCCTCATTGACATGTAAATCCATTTATAACTTTTTTGACATGCGTTTTTCAGGATTTTTATTGTTTTGTTATTCTGTCTCTCACTGTTAAAATACACCTACCATTAAAATTATAGTTGGGTGTTACATGAAGAGTAACACCCTCTAACCGGCGCTGGAATGGAGGAAAGGGAATACACTGTGTATCTTTGTGATATATAGTGTATTCAATGTACATGGGAGCGATTACAGGTAAGTTAAATTATTCATAACTTTAAGACATAGTGAATGCTATTTGCACGTTCACCACTAGATGGCATTCTAAAAGCTAATTAGTGAAAATACTTGTCAAATTTTCTTAGAGAAAAATGTTTATGTGAACACTGACAAGCAGTTCTTAACTCTGATACACTTGTCTTCTCATCAGCCGTATTATTTATGGCCTTTATTTGGCAATGTATAAAGCAGCAACTTACTAACTTCATATCATTAAATAAACCTTCCATGTACCATAACCACTACTGTATGCTGTAGTGGTGATGGTTATAGGAATGCGCTGGTGCCCCTGCATTGTAAGTATTCAACCCTGGTCACTGTGTATTTGTCAGGTATACCTAACATTCATGCTGCCGCCGGAACCCACTTCCGGGTTCACGGCGCTTAGCTCCGCCCTTTTTTCTGACGCGGTCTTTCCACGATACTTAGGAAGACCGCGCCAGATTCAAAGGGCTGGATTATACACTCAGGTGCGGCAGTAAGATCAGCTGCCCCACTCGATGCTACCGGCTCCTCCCTCAGACCTCGGCTTGTAAACGGATTTCTACCTTCTCATCTCTCAGACCTCGGGTTGTAAACGGATTTCTACCTTCTCATCCCCCAGACCTCGGCTTGTAAACGGATTTCTACCTTCTCCTCTCTCAGACCTCGGCTTGGACAAACGGACTTCCTTTCTCTCACTACTAACCTGCAGTTTGTTAAAAGAGACTCCTTCCTTTTCCTCCATTGGGTGAATTAACCCTTCCAGTGCCAGAGTGCTTCTAAGTTAAGTAAATCTCTTATCAAGGAAAGCAAGTCATATCAATTATTATAGTATTTAATTTCTCTAAACTCTCTGTTGACAAATAAGCATTGCATTTTTTCCTTGCATGTGTATTTAAAGATACAGTCTACCTTGTTCACTTCAATAAAATAAAGGAGGTGAAACTTATTGTTTCTGCAGTTGAGTTCCAATTAAAGAGACATTACACAAAAGCATCACAGAATAATCCAGCCAATTCAATGGAACCAGCAGATATTAACTCTCAAGTTTCTGCCCTAACCAATAGAGTAGATACAATTGCTCAAGGGTTACAGGAATTGCAAATTACAAATGAGAGAATATTAACCTATGTTAGACACATGCAAGGCCATCTTCCTCATGCCGCTCTTCAATCGGCTGGTGATCCTGCTGTCTGTAATCCAGAAAAATTTTATGGAGATAGAACAAAGTACAGAGAGTTTTTAAATTCTTGCAAACTTCTGATAGCTTTGAAACCTCGATCTTACCTCACTGAAAGGTCAAAAGTTTGTTCAGTAATTTCCTTTCTAAGAGGTGAACCTATGGCTTGGGCCCATTCCTTTTTAGAGAATGATGATCCCATACTAGATTCACTGGATGAATTTTTTGAAGCTATGTCTTTATTATATGAAGATCCATATAAACAGGCTACTGCTGATTTAACCATCAGGACTCTCCACCAAAAGAACAGACCTGTTGAAGATTACATCGCCGAATTTAAAAGATGGGCTACCGAAACCCAATGGAATGACATCACACTACGCAATCAATACCGTCTCGGATTATCAGAAGCTGTGAAAGATGAACTCGTATTGAACTTCCTCCCACCTTAAATGCCTTGATTCAACTTTCCATTAGTATTGACAGACGTCTAAGAGAAAGAAGGGCTGAAAAAGTTCTTACTACGTCTAACTGGAGAAAACATTTTACTACTCCAAAATTTCCTGAAAAATCTCTTCCTCACAATGAACCTATGGAAGTTGGTATAATAAGAAGCCCTCTTACTTCGGAAGAAAGGATAAGAAGGAGACAACTAAATTTGTGCATGTATTGTGCTTCAAAAGTACATCTAATCCCAGAATGTCCCCTACTAATCCATTCGAAAGCTGGTAAGCTTCATTCATCTACTTCTATATTGAACGTTCTACACAAAAAGAAAACATCTACTTATTTTTCTATATCTCTCATATTACAGTGGGATACAAAAAGAATCGTGACTGAAGCCATTATTGATTCTGGTGCTAATGGAACCTTCCTTGATTTTTCTTTTGTTGCAAAGAATAAAATTCCGTGTGTTCGAAAAACCAATTTTATTCCAATCAGAGTTATTGATGGTTCATTCATATCCTCAGGACCCATAAAAGATGAGACAATTCCTCTAAGAATGATTACCAATAACGTACATACAGAGTTCCTTACATTTGATGTTATTAAATCTCCACTTTATCCCGTCATTCTAGGAATTAATTGGTTAAAAACTCATGATCCTTTAATTAAATGGTCACCCTTTTCCATTTCTTTTCCTTCTGACTTTTGCAAAAAAACCTGCTTCCAACATATTCCTATTCTCCAAACTACTCAGGAATCAATTATACCTCCATTCTACTCTGACTTTTCAGATGTCTTTTGTAAAAAAGAAGCGGCAACACTTCCACCTCATCGAGCATATGATTGCCCAATAGATCTAATACCTGGTGCTCCCATTCCTTATGGACACATTTATCCACTTTCTGAAAAGGAATTACAGACCTTAAAAGAATATCTTAATGAAAATTTACGTAAAGGATTCATCAGACCCTCGACTTCACCGGCTGCCTCTAGTATATTTTTGTGAGGAATAAGGACCAAACCATCCGACCCATTATAGATTACAGAGCCTTAAATAAAATAACCATAAAAAATCGTTATCCTCTTCCACTAATAAATGAATTAATTGAAAGGTTAAGAACCGCAACTATATTCACTAAACTCGACCTCCGAGGCGCATATAACCTCATTAGAATAAAACAGGATGATGAATGGAAGACCGCCTTCCGGACTAGATATGGTCTCTATGAATATCTAGTGATGCCTTTTGGGCTTTGTAATGCCCCTGCAACATTTCAACATTTTATAAATGATATCTTTAGAGATCTTTTGGATGTTTGTGTTATTATCTACTTAGATGATATTCTAATATATTCTAACAATTTGGATGAACATAGGAAGCATGTAAGATGGGTTCTATCTAGATTGAGAACTCACAAATTATACGCTAAACCAGAGAAATGTTTTTTTGAAGTTACTGAACTCTCCTTTCTTGGATACATTATTTCACCTCATTCTCTGAAAATGGATAACTCTAAAATAGAATGTATTATTAACTGGCCCGTTCCTACTACTACAAAAGAATTGCAACGATTTCTTGGATTTGCAAACTTCTATAGAAAATTCATTAGAAACTACTCAGAGGTATCACATCCACTTAACCACCTTAACAGTACTAAACGTCCTTTCAAATGGAATAAAGATGCACAAGCTGCCTTCGATAGTTTAAAAAAAAGATTTACAACTGCACCTATT